GTAAGCTGAGAGTGGAGGACTTAGAAACTCTGCTAAGCGCAATAGGTTTTAACCTAAGGGCAAATTTTCTATTTAATTAAACAAAAACAAATCCACACTTGCACTCCATATTAGCAAAACTTCTCTGTTCTACTCTATCATAAGCACCTCTACAACGCTATCAAAACTCAGTCGGACATAGAGATATTGCCACTGTAATCGCCCAAAAAAGCCTTTAAGTATCCATCAATGGCTGTTACAGCCAAATTTTTAGTTAGGTTTGCGAGAAGTAAATTGAACGAAAAGGATCTTGACATGGATTAGGCCATGCCACTCCTTTTCCACTTGGATTTTTTTTACAGAACTTACGAATTTTTTTCAATAATCTCTATAATCAATGATATCCTATCCTAATTCTATTTCGGCTACATCAAGAAATCTTTGTCGCCAAAGTATTTCAAACCGTATTAATGGTTTCTGCATCCTCAATTGTTTTGGTTTACTGCACCGTTAGTTGCAAACAACTGCTTTATGACTCATTCGGATACAGTTTGATTGATGATAGAACTATTTTGTTCTAAAATGGGAACAGATACTGGATTATAAACTTTTAACCGATTCCTGACGATCATCGATGTCAAGTCCTTGAATTAAAATTAATGATACTCCCATCTTATTGTCTCAGATGGGCTCTATAAGCAGGTAATTTGTGGTAGTCTGAATTTTGTCCTGTTCTTTGAAAATTTTGCCCCATCTTGATCTTAGTGATGATGCAACCATTTGCTCTGCATGTTACTGGGATTTGGCGATAACGTAAGCTTTTAACTCCGATAAATTTTATTTTAGCCTTTTTAAATGTAAAATGAGGTTGCAAATTATAGAAGTGATCACTTCACAACTATTAGATCCTTCAAGTAGTTTAAGCATTGAAACATAATCTTTTCTGGAAACGGGAGTATCTTAAACAGTTCTGACATAGCGTGCTTGAGAATTCTAAATTAGAAAAAAAATTGGACTTAAAAGTGAACGTAAGGCGAACTTCTTTAGAGAAATCTTGTCCCGCGCCATTGTAAAAATGAAGAAGTAGAGCCATGCTTTTAAAGAAGGGCAAACTATGGAGGAAGGGAGCAGGAGTAAAGGGGAAAGATGTAATGGAGAGGACATACGTT